CGCGGGGGGGGGGGGGGGGCGCATAAGGTGGAGATAGGCTAGGAGAAGTTGGAGGGTGAGAACCAGGAGTGCACAAATTAAATTTCTTTGGCTTTGCATAGAAACCTCAGCAGTTTCTCTCTGCGGCTTACAAAACATCCTCAGACTTTGACGTCTATAATTAGCTGTGGAAAAAGCTGGGAGTTCCCTCTCACTGCTGTTGTTTGAGTGAGCGTAAGCGTCCAGAACCAACTGTATGAGTGTCTCTAAGGGCACCGCCCCACGCATCTCTGATTCTATAGGGAAGGAAAGAGAAGGGGCACACTGAAAAGTTTTCAGTTTCAAGCCCCAGGCTGTGAGGTGGCCGGCTTGGGCCTCTGGCATCTTGAGAGGGTCCCTGAACAGATCGCTTAAGAGATAGACACTAAGGCTGGAGTTGCTCCCTCTTTCTCCTCTCTCCCTGTTTTGGTAGTGCGGGCCGGCTGGCGTCTTTCCCTGAGATGAGTCCAGCCTATACTCTGGTCCACCTCTAGAAGAATGCCTACTTGCTTCTCTCCAGCCGCGTGGGGAGATGGGAGGAGGGGCCCAGCAAATCCTGCGAGCAGGGAGAGCGCGCCCTGGCCGGAGGCATCTTCTTCCAGGGTACTCCTGCAGGACGCACAATGCCCTCCGGATCTGATGCTGGCCAGGTGGGCTGGTCGGGTGTCAGGTGAAGAAGTCAGGCGGCTGCTGTGACGCTGAGAAGGAAAGAGAAGTGGGGAGGGAGGGAAAACGAATTCTCGTTCTGCAGGCCATCTTTTCCTCCAGTTGGGGTGTGTGGCAGGGAGTCTTCAGATTCACTCCTTCCATGCTTGACACCCCCACCCACCCACATGAACTCCCCTTGTTCCTGGCTCTTCCCACTTAAGAGACCCTTTCCTATAGCAACCCCCTGGTCTGGGATCTCCTTATCTGGAAGGGAGGAGACCAGGGTTATTTCGGGCTGGGACCAGCATGGCAAGGGGCCTAGGGGAGAGAAGAATTTCAAAACAGGAGGACCCTATGATGTGGGCTATGAGAAAAGCCTTGCTGAGAACCTGAGGAAGAAATAGAAGGAGAGGTTAAAAGGTAGCCAGGGAAGCCACCAGAGCGAGCTTTCATTTGCAGGTGTTTGGTAATGGATCAGACCCTTTGGCCACTCTACCCCACCTGTGGTCTGATCCCAACAAGAATTGGTGCCCTTCTTCTATCGGAAGGGGAGGCGGGAATCCCGGGGGAGGGACCAATTCTGGTGGATAAGGATGGCTGCTGCCTGAGGTGTCTGCTTAGCGCGCACTAGGGTGCCTGTTCTAATGGCCATGTGTCCTGGGTCTTGGGCAGCTGGGGAGAACGCTTTTCAGCCCAGCTGTACCCCCACCTCTCCGAGCCGTGAGAACTGCAGGGTTGGGAATACTGCAGCAGAAGCTGGATCCCTCCCGTCTAGCAGCGTCTGTGACCTGCCCTATTGTCAGCCTCTCAGCAGCCCGGCTCCACCCTCTGGCATGGCTCTGCCCTAGTCTGAGTACTCAGAGGAGAACGGACTTAGATGTGGTAGAGGCTTCTAGCCTTCCGGTCCCTGCCGGTGCCTCTGCCCCTTCACTTCTGTTTTCCATCTCCGTGTCCCTGAATCCTTGGTTCCAAGGTCAAGTTGAAGGGACTTAGTTTGCCTCATCCCCGAGACTCCCAGCTTCTAGCACAGTGCCAGGACAAATAGAGGCACTCTGTCAACACTTCCAAGATGAAAGGGGGCAATTTAATTAAAAAAAAAAAACATTTATTGGGGACCACATCTGGAGGTCAGGGGACAATTTATTCTCTCTTTCCACCATTTGGGTTCATGGGGACCAAACTCAGGCCATCAGATACTTCAAGGCAGGAGTCCTTACCCACAGATCCATCTTGCTAGTCCCCAGGGGTGGAGTAATAGCACCTGGGAATCACTTGCATGGGGAGGTGCAGGAAGGGGCCCCTAGTTTGCCCTCTGGTCTATAGCCCCTCCTCGCTCTGGGAACCCTGCTCACCACAGAAACGGTGGGAGGGAGTGGCTGAGTCAGGTTTGTCACATTGCTGTAGTCTTTGATGTCAGAAGAGAATCAAACTGAGGGTACTGTGTGGGGAGTGGAGAGGGGGCAAACTAGAACAGTCAGGATCTGCCCAAGGCCTGGTGCTGGGAGAAGTAAGGTGTGTGGTGAATGAAGGTCTTGGAGCAGGAATATCGGACAGCCTTATATCCCACTCACTTTCCATAAGATCTGGAGAGAAGGGGGCTGCTCTGCCAGCCCTGCCCCAGCCACCACCCATCAGCAGCTCCAACTGCCAGCTGAGACTACGGAGTTGACTTCTCTCAGTACCCGTGGCCCTTTGCTCTTTATTCAGTGCTCTGGGCCTCTGCACCAGCACCCACATTAAGATCCACTGAACTTCTGAAGGAGATGAGGAATATGTTATTTGGGGTGCCTAGGATCCTAAGAAGCATATTTGATGTTACTTTACAGGTAAATGCCCCACCCTGAGCCTGCCCTTCCTTGGAGGGATATCTGCCAGGCCATCTGTGTTCCTTCCCTACAAGTGACTTCTCAGACATACTGCCCACCAAGCCTACTGCCTGCTCCTAGGAGGGCTTTGATTCCTTCTATCCCTACTGCCAGGAGGGAGGAAGTGGTAAGGAAGGTAGGGTGGAGCAGGCACCCTCTAAATACAATCTAACTGGGCTAACAACATTTCTCCACTTTTTGCTCTCTGGAAAATGGAAAACATACTCTTTTAAATTGGCGGACAGTATGTATTTATAGATGCCATGTTTTGATATATGTATATACTATATAATGTTCAATTCAAATCTCAAACATTTATCATTTCCTTGTGGTTAAAAAAAACACAGGTGTTTTCAGGCAGATTGTTTAGAGTAAACAGCATGCTATCATTTTCTCCAGTCATATCATAGAACAATAGAACTTATTACTCCTTTCCAACTCCAGCTAGGTGGTGTCATCATCCTGTCTCCATCCCTCCTCCCCAGCTTGGCAACCACCATTCCACTCTCGGCTATGTAAAATCAGCTTTTCCAGATTCCACATGAGGTCATCTGCTATTTGTCTTACTGTACGTGGCTAGTTTTGCTTAACATAGTGCCCTTCGGCTCCTTCTATGTTGTTGCAAATGACAGGTTACCATTCTTCTTGAGGCTGATATGTTTTCTTTGCCAGTCCCTCAGCTGATGAACACTTTGGCTATTTTGAATAGTGCTGCTGCCATAGACACAGCAGGCAGATGTCTCTTCTTTATGATGATTCTATTTCCTCTACATATATACCCAGTAGTGGGATTGCCGGATCACATGGCAGTTCTGCTTTTAATTCTGTTTGTTTGTGTTGTGCTGGGAATCGAACCTAGAACCTCTTGCAATGCCAGGCAAGTGCTCAGCCACTGGACACAACAGCTCTATTTTTTTTTTTTACTGTTTTGATGAACCTGCATAATGTTTTCCATAATGACTGTATTGTTTCCCCTTTTCTGTGGGTCACTGAAGTAAGTGTGCCCTGGGGCTAGAGTCCAAGACAGCTGTGTGGAGTGTTTTATACTCTGCTTCTTCTCGCTGCATCTATTTGTCTTCTTCTTTCCTAGGATGAGCTGCTCTTGTTCCACTGACTTACTTTCTTCACACATGTTCCAACAGAAATGACAAGGTCTGTCTTCTGCCTCCTCCTTAAGTGTCTTCAGCCCACGTAGTAAATGTGGTGGAAGAGAGAAACCAAGAAGCAACTAGTTAGTCAGAGCCAAGGACTTCTGGTCAGAGAAGTGTCTGTTGGGCGGTGTGGAATTGGGAAAGAAGCGAAAGGAAAGAAAAAGGGACAAGGACATAGGCACATAGGAATTGGGTCCCTACCTCCCTGTCATGGTTCTCATTCTGCCCACTCTCAGGCTGAAGCGTCAGCTTCAGCTCTTTTCTCCTGGCTGACCAAGTTTCATACGAAAATCCCAACAGTTTGGGAAAATGAACTGGCATGGTATCAGCAAGGTCACCTTTTGCCTACCTTCCTGCCATCACTTAGGGTGGGCACTGGCATTTAAAGTGCTGTGCTTACTGCCAGACATGTCAAGACTCTGGCTGGGTTCAAAGAAATTCAGCTCAGGGCTCTACAGAGCGATCTGGCCAGTTTGTAGAGTCAGTGTCAGGAGGACAAAAAAGTATAACCCCTCACAGGCCACATGCACATTTACACAGCAGCCCAAGTCATTATCCCAAAGATGCATACTCACAAATAAAGAAACATGTGTGCACAAGGTGAACCAGATTGTATTTGTAATAGGAAACCATTGCAAA